CACCTGCCCTGGCCCTCCCTGCTCGTCCTTCCCACCTGCCCTGGCCCTCCCTGCTCGTCCTTCCCACCATCCCAACCCAACTGCCCAAGCCTTCCCTGCCCAGCTGTGCCGGCCTGTCCTCTTCTGACCCTCCCCACCCCTGCCCACCTGGACGGTTCAGACAAAAGCCTCGAGCCACCCTGCTCCTCCCCCAGGCCCAGGACAGATGCCTGGGGTCCTCCTGCCCCCAGAGAGCCCACTCGCAAACCTTGGGGTACCACATCCTCAACACACTTCAAGCATCCTGGACCCCCACTGCCCCCTCCCTGCACCACCTGCACGGCACGGCTGACTGGGTCCCCCAGGGCCACGGCCAGCCACACCGTGTGGGGGTAAAGCGGGGGCTGTGACTCTTGGCCGCATCTGGGACGTGGTGGGAGGACCGCTCCAGGCTGCAGCTGGGCAGGCAGTGAGGGTGACACAGGCCACCACCCACACTGGACGCAGACCTCTGTGACCGTCACCCCTCACCCAAGGTGGCGGGGGCGCCCTGTGCTCTCACACGCACGGCTGAGACCCACCTTCTGCAGGTCAGGCCCCGCCTCACGCCATGGGACAGAGGTAAGTGTTTAGTGAGCTGCCACCCCGTCCACAAGGGCGCCCCCTACAGCCCTAAACCACGGGGACACGGGTCAGCGTTTAGGGAGCAGCTGCTCCATCCACAAGACCACCCCCAATCCCTACACCATGGGGACACAGCTCAGCGTTCAGGGAGCAGCTGCTCCGTCCACAAGGGCGCCCCCCACCCCACGCCCAGCACTCACCCCCGTCACGCTGTAGCCCTGGAACAGCCAGGCGCCGTCCTCGCTCGTGGCACAGCACAGGGCGGCGACACCATGGCCCACAGCGCAGATGGGCTCTGAAAGCGTGGTCACAGCAGGGCTGAGGGCTGACCCCGCTGGCTGCCCAGACAGCCCACACGCTGGCCCCCCAGCCCCCTCACACCGGCTGCCCTCCCCACGAAGGCCCACTGCCCTCCAGCCCCGCAGATCCTCCCTGCCTCTTGCCCCGCCCCACCTGCTGGGCTGCGGAAGGTGCTGGGAGACATCAGATCGAGAACAGACACAAAGGGAACCATGGACGTCTCGTTCACCCGACCCGGGGACGCTAAGGGACCCGCTGGTGGTTCATGGAGCCCAAGTGGGCCCAGCCGCCCACAGCGCCGTGTCCCAGGGGCCGGGGTCTATCACTATACAGACCCCATCGAGGAGAAAGCTGTGGCGACATCGCACCCCCTACACACGCAGAGAAGGACGGGCGTGTAGATACGAAGCACACCAGCCACACCCCTCCTCATGCCTCCTGGGAGCCCCCAACCCAGAGCCACCAGCAAGGCCCTAAGACACTGCCCACACCTGCACTGGGGTCACCTGGCCCTCAGGCTTCCTCCCGGGGCGCCGCCTAGAGCAGGTGGTTCCCACGGCCGAGGTTGAGGCCAGGAACAATGGCAGCCTGTCCTGCTGTGCGGGGACAGGAGGCCCTGTCCCCGGGACAAAGGTTCCTGTATGAGTACACAGCTCTGCACAGCATGTGGCCGGGGGTCAGCAGACGTGCCGTCACAGCCAGGTCCCCATGGAGCAGCCCTTCTCCAGCCCCTCTGGCCCCGGACCCGACCTGAACCACAGGCTGCACTTTCCCAAAGGGACCAGAGCTGGCCACCCGCAGGGGGCGCATCCCAGGCCACCGGGACCAGAGCTGGCCGCCGGCAGGGGGCGCATCCCAGGCCATGGGGACCAGAGCCAGCTGGCCGCAGGGGCACAGCCCAGGCCACGGGGACCAGAGCCGGCCGACCACAGGGGGCGCAGCCAAGGCCACGGGGACCAGAGCCGGCCGACCACAGGGGGCGCAGCCAAGGCCACGGGGACCAGAGCTGGCTGACTGCAGGGGGCGCAGCCCAGGTCATGGGGACCAGAGCCGGCATGACCAAGGGTACACAGTGCCGGGGTGGGAAAGGGTCACACGCTCAGATATGGGTGACAGACTCGTCCACTGCCCACGTGGACACACGCTTCCCCTCGTGAAATGACCCTGCACCCCGCGACGGCCCCCCAGTCCCAGGGGTCACTTACTGCTCTCGGAGCAGAAGTGCTGCAGGATACGAGCCAGAGATCCGCTGCTGGCCAGGTCAGCAAGTGCCCCGGGGCAGCTGGGGATGAGGAGCGCGTGGTACCGGGCCCCTGGAGAGAGGGCACAGGGCCCACGCCATCCATCAGGTCCAGCAGGGTCCACCCTCCCTGCCACTCTGCTCTTAAAGACATGAAGAGACCCCAGGCCCACCACACCCTCCAGTGGTTCTACTGCCCCACGTGGTCCCATCTGCCCCCTCCCCCAGACAAAGGCTCAGGAACGCTGGGGTCATGGGGTCAGGGGACCTGGAGTGTGGGGTTGGAGGCTAGCCCGGGCACTTGAGCAGGGCTGAAGGAGCGCTGTGGGGGCCCCAGCCTGCCTGGACCCCCGCCCGGCCTGCAGGGGCCTCACCGTCGATGGACTCAAGCTTGGCGGGGCTGGCGTAGGACCTGAGGCGGAAGTCCTGGACCCAGCGGGCGTTGCTCTCATCCACATCCACAAAGTCCATGGCCTTCCCCTGTGGGCAGCGTCCAGGCCGGGGTGGGCACAGGACACATGGGGACGCCGCATGGAGTCCCTCAGAGCACCGAGAGCTGCCAGCTTCACAGGTCCCCCCAGGTGGGGCCCCCGCCCCCAGGGTAAGCATGCACAGGCCGCCACATAAGCAGGTGCCAACTGCGGCCAAAGGTCGCGTCCCACAGGCAGCACCAAAGCCTGGAACATAGGGACCACAGACCCACATGGAGTCATAGGCCCCACAAGGGCAAAGCAGCAAAGGGCGCCATGGGCCTGGCTGCAGGTAGGGGCAGCCGCACTCACCCCTGGGGTGGCCACCTGCAAGCTGAAGGCGGCACTGGCCAGCGTGAAGCAGTGCAGGAAGGATGGGGCAGACACACCTGTGGACGACGGTGGCCGTGGGCAGCTGGGCTTACCGCCCCCCCGCCCCC